CTAACTAAATGCAGATGCTCACCTTGGTTTCCAATTAGACTTAGACATGACTGAGGCTTTGTAAAGAAGGAAGATGGCTTGAAGAAAATGAGAGCTCAAAATTAAGTATCTCCATGAGCCAAAATAGCTACAAGGAGCTCTCAAACAAGAGTAGATTTTTTTTTTAAATAGAAGTGTAGATTTTAAAGGAACAATTACTTAAGATAGAAGGAAGAAACTCCTTAACTGAGAATTAAGACAAGAGTGACCTTGGTTGTCGTAACTCCCATACTAGGTAGGGGTGCAATTAACACAAGATGACAGTCACGTATCTGCCTCCAAGCTTTCCATTTAGTTTCGATACTCTGCTCCTAAAGTTTCTCTCTGTTCTAAGAGGCTCGGGTCCTCTCTTTCTGTGGCTTCCACTGTCCATACTTGACTTTTCCCAGTCTGGGAGGAGAGCTCACACTGAGTGATTTTGGCTCACTCAGCCAATCTTAGGATGGCCTGGGCTTTAAGTCATTTTAGTTCTTTTGATTTTGTAAACCATTTTAATTGTAAATAGTTTAGATTTTATCCTGAGGACACAAGTCATTAAAGAATCTTAAGTGAGGAAAGTAACCATTATCCTGTTTGTTTAAGTTTTACTATAACGTGGTGAATGGATTAGAAGTTAGAAATGGTAAGAGAAGCAGACACAGACACCAGTCAGGACATCGTTGTAGCAGTCCAGCTGACAGATGGTGGAAATCCAGAACTAAAGCAGCGTCAGTGGCTTGGAGAGAAATAGGTGGATTCAAAAATATTTAGGAAGTAGAAGCAACAAGACTGAGCCATGGCATAAAACACCATGATGTACAGATATCACTCAGCTTCCTGACACTTAGCCATTTTCATTCTCATCTAAGAGCTGTTCAAAAATGGTTAAGGTCCTGATTTTTAAAACAAATTGTTGAAGTTTATTTACCAGATGAGTAGTAGCAAATACTTACTTTGTTGAGGGGAAATCTGCTAGCATGATTAATAGTAATGGTAACATTTTCTTCTTGAGTTATATCAATGAATCTAATACTCCTATAAAGCCTTGTTCCTCTACTTCTAGTATATGAGATACAGAGTGAGGACGCTCACACACAAATATTTATTGAGTGCCTGGGTGACAGATTGTTCTTTAAAAAACAAAACCAAACAAAAACACACAGAAGCAGCAGGAAACTGAGACAGATTTGAAAGAGAAAAAAATATTTTCTATAATTTATTTGGAGCTATGAAAGTTATTGAAGTATAATACTTGCCACGGACACTTTTCCAACCGCTGAAATTAATCTGTATGCCTAAGCAAGACACCGCATGGTGGTGAAACATAGAAGGTTCACTGATTTTGAATATTCCATTCAAAATAGAATATTCTATTCAAAATATCTTGAAAGAAAAAAGACTGTGTAGTCAACGATTTGAACTATGAGAATGACTGAAGCATAAAGAAGAATAAGCAAAAGAGATGTTTTGATATTACATAAATATGGAATTTAATTTTCTTCCGCAAAATATTCAACTTAAATTTAGGGATTACTAATTAATCTTGCTTATATTATAAGCAGTTTTTAAAACTCTGTTGCTCTCAGAGAAGCTCACTAGAAAGAGAGTCTTAACTCTGAATTTAGAAATGTTTCCAATTACATGTATCATCACGCCAATATATAGGACATTCAACTTGAATATTTTAAATATCCTTATTAGTTGAGTAATATATAATATGGATGGCATGAATAATTTATAGAGCAGCATCTCAGAGAGATTACCCAGTTCTGCTTTCATTAATTTGACTGTGATTATTTTGAAAAGGGGCTTAATCCATACTGTCAACCCTTTTTGTTTATTTCCATTTGTACCATCCTTTAGAGGATATCTCTCTGAGGAAGATTTTCTTGGTATCTGCATTTTGTTTATGTTACACATGCCAAATAGATCTCCCAAGATGAAACTCCTAGCTCATTTGGAAGTAATTTTTGGTAGCACATGAATCAGAACTCTTATTTTCTTCTCAGCACTACTGGTATTTTATTGCTTCCATCTATAGTTCAATATGCTTTTAAGTGCCAAGAACCCTGAGGCCAAACACACAAAGTGCTAAGAAAATGGGAACTTCTGGCGATTACAACTTTTGTCTCTCTTTCAGGGTTCTTCCTTCCCCTGGGAGACTGAAATCACTTCAAGCTCACTATGAAACCGGGACATGGTGAGCACAGATGATTGACTGAAGTTGGCGATGTTGATTTAGGAGTCTTCGGCTTATAGGTCAGGTGTAAAACCCTTAAACCTGCTTGTCAAAGTCAGTCTGTCAAACTCCTATGGATTATTTCCAGACTCTGTCCAAATGTCACTTTCTCTATGCAGGCTTCTCTGGCCAGCTCAGGCAGGGTGAGGCAGTTCCTCCTTTGTATTATTACAGCACCCTGACATATTCCAACAGCAGCTCTTAGCAAACTATATTGCATTTGTCCATCTCCCTCCACTCATGGAGAGAGAGAAACTATTCTCTTCCTTTTGTCTCTGGACTAGAGCATTACCAAAACCAAGTTGGTTCTCAATAAGTAATAACTGAATGGACAGGCAGAGAACGGCTAATAATACTCTCCACCTGCGTAGCTTAGGTTATGAGGTGTTTTCACATCGTGGTGAGGAAGACATGGCAGAAATTATCACCTATGCTTTGTAAAGGAGGGAACTGATGCTCAGAGAGGTTATATGACCGACCCAAGTTCAAAGCAGCTAACAAGTTGCACATCTACTTCTCATGCCAGCGAGTGGATAAAGATTTGTAAAGAGAAGAGGTAGCAGTCATATTCTGCAGGGCAGATGGAAACCGTTAGCCAAGACACAGCGTAGGAGCCGGTTAATTGTTTCGAAAGCTCCAAAACTCTTAGCGGGGTATTGAGAAGTTAACTTAAATGCACACAAAACCGAACTTCAGAATGTCAACTTATTTACAATGCGAATGCTTTGTGACAAATAATTTCCCTGTACTTGAGCTACACCTACAGTGAATCCAGTAGATTAAAAAATACATCTTTTGTATCTCTGTAATACAAATGGCTCTCTCTGAAATTCCTGCCGTGACTCAGACTCTAAAGAGGAATAAGTTCTTAGAGGTCTTAGTGTAATCCCTTCATTTTACTAACTAACTAGATGGCTAATTAGCTGGAAAGATAAATGACTTACTCAATCACATAGCTTGTTCGGGACAGCACCAGGACACAGGAACCACTTCTTAATGATACTATCCTTACATTTTTTTAAGCAAGTTATAACTGAGAAGTAATGTAAGTATAGTTCTTAGCAAGCCTTCTAAGTATCTGGCTAATATAACTAAACATAGGCTGTCACACAGGAATTGTCCTTAAATGCTACTGTGTCCATGTGTAATTGGGGAGATAGTGGGGCAGGGAGGAGCACATAGTATGGCAGACAGTGTTTTAGGATCTCATCCATGTTAAAACAAGATACTTTTTAATAGAGGTTAACAATATTAATTATACTGATTTATCTCTATCCACCCATAAACATTGATGCTACCAAAAAAAAATTCTTGGATTTTATCTTTTCCCTTTGTCAATCAAAGTGTATTTTCTAGTCCCCAACTGTTTTCAACAAACTTCTTTTTTACTTTTGAAAGTAATCAAAGTAATTATAACCTGGGTGTGTTCCTACGTTCATGTCATATTTGTAACTTCTAAGTTTTGAAAAAATCACTCATTGCCAGTAGAACACTTTTACTACTTATTGACCATGTAAAAAGTTAAATATATGTGTCCGTTAAGGGGCAAAGACAAACATAATCTAATATTCTCAGCAAAAAAAAAATAAGATAAATGATCATATTTATGAAAGTTTTTGGTTTAGTTTCTATTACCAAAGCTGGGGTGTGCTCTGGGTCATATGTCCTACCGGAGTAGATGAAAGCAAATGTTTTCCACAAGAATATTTGTATCTCACAGACTGCAAGTCACACCAAAATCAAATGATTTCATGGGGCAACACCATCAACTAAGAGAAAGAGCCTTGGAGGGGAGGATATAGCTCAGCGGTAGAACGCGTGCTTAGCATGCATGAAGTCCTGGGTTCAATCCCCAGTACTTCCATTAAATAAATAAATAAATAAACCTAATTACCTCCCCCTTTAAAAAAAGAGAGAGAGAGAGCGTGCCTTATTTAGCAAATAACTGCTTTGGGGGATAGAAACATGCCTCAAACTACAATGAATTAGCTTGTTAATTGATCTTCCTGCTGGGGATGATTGTTAGAATTCCTTCTTTAAAACACAGGAACCTTTACCCGTTCGATATCAACCTTTGTGCATATGCTTCTGCTACTCTCATAATCAGAGCCTGTCCTGTTCTATGCCTCCACTGAATGCAGGGAAACACTTGCACAGCACTGAGACAATACAGCTTTTGCTTTCCTCTGGCATCGTAACTGGCACCCTGATGGTCAACCTCCAATTAAATGCTAATGTTTACTGTTATCCCCACCACTTACAGATTGTGAAACAAGAACCCACATTCTGAAAGAAACTTGAGGTAGTCAAGGTCATTTACATAGTCCAATTGAGAATCACTTTCTCATCTAGACTATGAGAGACACTTGTTCATAAATCACAGCATTTATAACGTACTGAGTAGAAGATTTTAGATGCTAATTTTTAAGCTAGGTCGAATTATAATATCATGCTGTATAAGAAAAAAACAGGGTCGTCTGAGTACCAATTCATTCATTTGCTATAAAATTTCAGCAGAAAAATTCCCATGTATACCCAAAGTTGAAGATAATTCACTCCATTATGCATTAAGCCAGCCAACAATTTTTATCCATGTCACAGGCGTAAAATATCTGTCAATTCCTGTTAAGGGACTATAACATGAAATCAATATGGTCAGTAGATACATAAAATAAAATGCCAATAGAAATTATTTAAAAACAAAAGTAATAGGCCTTGCGATGCTTTAAGATGTATTACTCACCAGAAACAAAGTTCGGAAGTTGCTGAGATCACCGAAAAATTCTTCTATGCTCACTGTCTTAGAGTCAAAAACAAAGTATTCTCCAAGATTCTCATAGAGCTTTACCATGTTGTTGTGCATGGTGAACAGTTTTTCATACTGGTCTCTGGCGCTCTTTGTAAAGCTGTAGCTTTCTGTTAAGGAACATGACCCAATAGTACTTCAAAGGCAATCAATCACTAGATGTCAACACTGAATTACACCATCATTTCTGTAAACAGTTATGTATTAGTTTGCTAAGGTTGCCATGATGGGATACCACAGACTGGGTAATATAAACCACAGAAATTATTTTTTTCACAATTTAGGAGGCTAGCAATCCAATACCAGGGTGTTGGCAAATTTGCTTTCTTCTGTGGCCTCTCTCCTTGGCTTGCAGATGGCCACCTTCTTGCTGCATCCTTACAGAGTGGTCCCTCTGTCTCTATTGTCTGTGTCCTAATCTCCTCTTTTATGAGGACACATGCATACTGGATTAGGGCCTAACCCAAGGACCTCGTTTGAACTTAATTACCTCTCTAAAGGTCCTATCTCCAAATACAGCCACATTCAGAGGTTCTGGGGATTAGGGCTTCAACATACGAATTGCAGGGTGGGAGGGGTGCACACTTCAGCCCATAACAACTGGCTAGAGTCATTATATTGGCTAGTGAGTTTTGAAAATCTATAAATTAGGCAGAACGATTTAATGTATAACCAAGAAGAACATGTTTGCTAAAACATGTGTGTTAAATGAAAGCACAGAAGTATAAATACCAGAAAACTGCCTCCTATTTTTTTATAAACAAGATAGGGTAGAAACCAACAGCAACAAAAAACTTCAGGAAAAAAGTATACATTTTTTTAATACACATATTCTATATAGATGGAGCAGTTACAGTGTATTCTATACCTAGGTTGTGCATATATGTGTGTTTATATACATACACACATACACATATATATACATACACACATACACATATATATATACATATACACATATATCCCATATGAGGAGAGAAAGGGAGAAGATGGGAAGGGAGGGAGAGGCATGGAGAGGGAACAAGAAGGAGAGGAAGAGGGAAGAAGGGAGAGGTGAGAGAGAGGGAGAGATTCTCCTGTAGCTTGGGAACCTTAATGACTCAAAGGGCTTGTTAAAACCCAGAATGTTTTGCTGAGCCTGAGGATTAGAATTTCTTTTTACTTTCTTTCATTTCATTGAAGTTAGTTGATTTACAATGTTGTATTAGCTTCTGATGTACAACAAAGTGATTCAGTTATACATATATGTTTATTCTTTTTCAGATTCCTTTCCCTTTTAGGTCATTACAAGATCTTGACTATAGTTCCCTGTGCTATACAGTAGGACCTTGCTGTTTATCTATTTTATATATAGTAGTTTGCATCTGCAAATCCCGAACTCCCAATTTATCTCTCCCCCACCTTTCCCCTTTGACAACCATAAATTTGTTTTCTTTGTCTGAGTCTGTTTCTGTTTTGTAAATGAGTTCATTTGTGTCAATTTTTTAGATTCCACATATAAGTGATATCATATGATATTTGTATTTGACTGACTTACTTCACTTAGTATGATAATCCCAAGGTCCATCCATGTTGCTGAAAATGACATTATTACATTCATTTTTATGGCTGAGTAATATTCCACTATGTATATATACCAATTTTTTTTTTAATCACTTCATCTGTTTACGGACATTTAGGTTGCTTCCATGTCTTGGCTATTGTAAATAGTGCTGCTATGAACATTGGGGTGCGTGTATCTTTTCAAATCAGAGTTTTCTCCAGATATATGCCCTGGAGTGGGATTGCTGGGTCATATAGTAAGTCTATTTTTACTTTTCTTAGGGAACTGAGGATTATAATTTCTAACAAGTTCCTGGCTGATGCTGAGGCTGCCAGGCCAGGGCTACATTTTCAGTAGTATGCTCTAGGGAAGTATTTAGCCCAAAGTTAATTACATCAATGTTTAAAAATTTTTATCGAAAAAGGTGATAACATCAACAACCACTACCAAAGCATTAAATGAACCAGATATACATATAAATGTGTCTGACTAAATGTATCTCAGTATATGTAAATTTACACTTACACAAAGAAATTATCAACTTTATTCCTAATTATAGAAGATGTAGATAAAGAAAATTCTCTCTTTAGGTGACACAGAAATATAAAAACATAAGTAAACTACTATTTCCAACAACTCAGTACGATGACCATTTGGGACCATCTCCTTCTGGTCTTTCTTTTATGGCTAGTAACTTTTGAATGTTAATTAGTTAGGCTGCTTCAGAGAAAGGCAAGTGGGCTAACCATGAAGAATAGAAAAGGAACCAAATCTACCTTTTAAGAGAAGAGTTAAATCTATTAAAAATCAATAATGATCACAGAAGTAAAATATCTTTCAATGCAAAGGTACTAGACTTGGAATTGTAAAGAAGAGTAATAGCACAGTTTGGGGCATGATATTTTAAGATCCACTACAGTGTATTGATATTTTGTGACAGTTTTATTTTATCAGGCACTGGTAACTGTGTCTTGAAATGCTTGATTTTATAAAATTTTCTGAATTCTTCAAGTGTGTTTCATCATAACCTGGGGCCAAATTTATTTTCCATGGGAACATAGCTCTGGTTTCACAATGGAAGTCAGTGGGGAAATCAGACCATTTCTGGAAAATTACTTTGCAGCTGACACTCACGGGGTACAGCAGGATTTTAAAAGTGAGATGCCCCCCTTCCTACATGCTTTCTTATGCTACTTAAGTATTAGCATTCACATTGGCAACACAACAACCTCTTCCCTGCTAACCAGTGACATTAAATCTTTCAACCCTGCAGTCCATTTTGATGTCAATAGGCCTGAAAGAATTAATGCATTTCTGACTTGACTTTCTTTTTACCAAGAAAAGGGTTGTATGTAATGCTGCATACATATTCTGATTTTACCTCTGAGAATAACATAGTTTTGATTTGTAAGAAAGTGTTAAACATCCTATTTAAGAGTTGCAGAAATAAGACAATACTCTTCATTTCTTAGCACGAAATGAAAGTGAGATTTTTGTTTTCTAGTCTCTCTTCCCTAAATAAAACAGGCTCATGCCAGAGACTTGCTAAGCAGAAACATTTTGCAAAGGTCACTTACTTGTACTCTATTTGCAGCAAGGTGCTAAACTGTTTGTGTATTTCAGAAGGTGCAACAGCTGTACAACACAGAGAAAAAGCCAAAGATAAAAAAAGGCAAAACACTGTACATTTCCCATTTATCACAACACAATTTTTCACCAACTAAAATATGCCCATGTGGTGCTACACAATTTCATAAATTTGCTCTCCTAGAAGAAAAACTGATTTCAGAAATTCTGTCTGTGTACCAAAGTGAGAAAATTTTTTAAAATTCTGGGAAAGGTTTATCTTAGAAATAACAAATGGAAAGCAGCCCGATCTGCAAGTCCCTCACTTATCTTCACAACGATTACTGTGTAAAAGGCATGGACGGCATGAGTCAGCACTGAAATCTTTCACAATTGCAACCACGTCACCAAATCCTACTTGGAACTGCAGGTGACAAAGAGCTAGATGCCATCATTCCTTTCTACTTCTGTATTTCATTTAAGACTTTTTTTTTTTGAGCACAGCCATCACTAAATACAATATACTGGTTAGTATTATGCTAAGCATTGTGCTTGATACAATGATCATTAAACCCTAATCCAGACTCTGAAGCAGTTTATAATCTAACATTACAAATAATTCTACTATTGTTATCAGTTGTTGCCCCAGAATCATCCCTCTGCCTCTCCGTAGAAAAGAAGCCAATTACTCTTATCTGAGTTTTCTAAGTTTCAGGAGGAAGCTGCAAAGAAAATAAAGAAAAAAATATAAAAGGTTAGAATCAACTAGGCCCAAGATGGAGGAAGATTTGACTTCCAGCAGAACTTGAGCCTAATTATATGCTCACTGGCTCACTGTAATGTATTAGTATGCAAAATGACACACCTACCAGCGACATGAGAGTTGACGAGTGCTATGACAACAACCAGAAAAGGACTGAAAAGGAGAGTTGCATCAGTTCTGGGTCTAAACCACACCCCTGTTCTTGGATAACTCATGAATACTCCTCCCATGCTTTCCAATTCCCTCCTTTTTATCTCAACCCTCTTATATATTTGATGACTCCACCCGAATTTGGTTGAGAAGTTGGTTTGTGAACTGCATTGCTGCTTCTCCATTCTTTGGCCATTGAATAAACCTGTGTTCTTCTAGTCTCAGCACTGGTTTCGTGACTGGCTGCATGAATGTGATCAGAAAAAGCACCTCTCTGGCCCGGACAGGGGGTCTCGGCCTAGGCTAGGACCTGACTAATTTGGTAACACTACCATCAATTTGCATTTGTACAAGATTTTACCATTTACGCTATATTTTTCCTTCCACTATGTCCCACGTTCTTCATAACAACCTTAACAAAAAGGCAGAGAAATCCCACTACTCCAATCTTTAGAGTTGTGCAAATTAGATAGAAGGCACTTACCCTCCAAGGTTAGAATGTGGCAAAGGGGACCAGATGTGCCATCCCAAAATATATCTCTATGGCACAGATTATTTTGAGCTGATTGAGAAATAGCAGACACTGGGAAAGCTCTGAAAAGAGTAAGTTACCCTTTGGAAAGGGAAATTTCCATTTGTAAAGGAAACCTCTATCCGTAAGGGTATCTTCCTCTCTGTACGAAGAAGAGAAGGATGACTAAGTCACAAGAAGATCAAGGGTATCAAGACTATGACTGGTGAAGCTGCAGATTTAAATCTGCATAACAAAACTTACCCTTGTCTATGGTGTTTTCCTGGTAACCCCCACTCCCCCATAATGGGTGTCCTCACACCATTCTTTTGTCTTTAGCTGGAGATGGTATTTAAACCGGTGGCTTATGTACTTTGGGGAGTTACTCATTTTTCCCTGGATATCTTCCATGTACACATGAGATGTACATGTTAGTTAACTTCTGTCTGATTTTCTCTTGTTAGTCTGTCTTTTATTATGGGGTAGGGGGATGGAGTCTCAGCCAAGAACTCAGAAGAGTAGAGAAAAAATGACTTTTCCTCTCCTACATCATGGTAGTTTCTTGTATA